AGGAGAAGAGAAATAATTAAAATCAGAGAAGAAATCAACAGGATTGAATCCAAAAAAAATTACAAAAAATCAGCCAAATGAGGAGCTGGTTTTTTGAAAAATAAACAAAATTGACACCCCATTGGTCCAACTAACTTAAAAGAGAAAAGACCGAAATCAATAAAATCAGAGATGAAAAAGGAAACGTAACAACAGACACCACAGAAATAAAAAGAATCATTAGAAATTAGTACAAGGACTTGTATGCCAGCAAACAGGGAAATCTATCAGAAATGGATAGATTCCTGGACACATGCAACCTACCTAAATTGAACCAGGAAGACATAGAAAACCTAAACAGAAATATAACTGAGACAGAAATTGAAACAGTAAGAGGGATAACATATTAAGTTGTTCATCAACAGTCAGGGCAAGGACTGATCAAGTCACCGTTTCTCATAGTGTTCATTTCACTTTAACAGGTTTCCTTTTTGGTGCTCAGTTAGTTGTCACCTATCAGGGAGAACATATGGTATTTGTCCCTTTGGGATTGGCTTATTTCACTCAGCATAATGTTTTCCAAATTCCTAACAGGGATCACTTTTCAGTTAAATTTAAACACCTAAGAACAATTGTGTGTTAATTACAGAGTTCAGCCAATGGTACTAGAACAAAAAAAAAAATACTAAAATGGATAAAGTATTACATTGTACATCAACCGTCAGGACAAGAGCTGATCAAGTCACTGTTTCTCATAGTGTCCATTTCACTTCACTTTTTGTTTGTTCTACATAATACTTTTGGTTGAATACTGTAATCAATATGCAATTATTCTTAAGTGTTGAAACTTAACTGAAAAGTGATCGCTGTTAAATATAAGAGTGGGAATAAGAGAGGGAAGAGATGTGCAATTCGGGACATGCTCAAGCTAACTTACCCCAAATGGTAGAGTTAGAAACATACCAGGGGATTCGAATTAAATCCCATCGAGGTGGCATGTACCAATGCCATCTCACTAGTCCCAGGGATCAATTTCTGTTCACAATTGATCATAATGATAGGACTAAGAGCCAAAGGGATCACATAAACAAGACTAGTGTCTGCAAATACTAGCTGATAGAATAAAAAAGGGAGAGAACGATCCAACATGGGAAGTGAGATACACAGCAGACCCATAGAATGGCAGATGTCCTAAACAGCACTCTGGCCCCAGAATCAGCCCTTAAGGCATGCGGATCTGGATGAAAAGCCCATGAGAGTATTTCAGGCATGGAAATCCAAGACACTCTGGGGAAAACAAAAAAAAACCTTAATGAAAGATCTCCGCGCGTGAGATCCCAGTGGAAAGAACAGGTCATCAAAGAAGGAGGTACCTCTCTCTGAAGGGAGGAGAGAACTTCCACTTCGACCAACGCCTTGTCTAAATATGATCAGAGTCAGTGAACTCAGGGGGCTTCCATAGCCTTGGCAGCTCCTGACAAGAGCCTAGGGTGATTACTGATGCCATAAACAAGAGTGTCAATTTGTTAAGTCAACAACAGGAGTCACTGTGCACTTACTCCTCATGAAGGATCTCTGTCCTTAATGTGCTGTACATTGAGATTTAATGCTATAACTAGTACTCAAACAGGATTTTTCACTTTATGTTTCTGTGTGGGAGCAAACTGTTGAAATATTTACTTAATATATACTAAACTGATCTTCTGTATGTAAAGAGAATTGAAAATGAATCTTGATGTGAATGGAAGGGGAGAGGGAGTGGGAAAGGGGAGGGTTGTGGGTGGGAGGGACGTTATGGGGGGGAAGCCATTGTAATCCATAAGCTGTACTTTGGAAATTTATATTCATTAAATAAAAGTTAAAAAAAAAAAAGCTATTGAAACAGTAACAAAGGCCCTCCCAACAAAGAAAAGCCCAGGACCAGATGGATTCACTGCTGAATTCTACCAGACATTTAAAGAAGAACTAACTCCAATTCTTCTCAAACTATTCAGAACAATCGAAAAAGAGGGAATCCTCCTAAATTCTTTCTATGAAGGCAGCACCACCTTAATTCCTAAGCCGGAAAAAGATGCAGCATTGAAAGAGAATTACAGACCAATATCCCTGATGAACACAGATGCAAAAATCCTCAATAAAATTCTGGCCAATAGAATGCAACAACACATCAGAAAGATCTTTCACCCAGACAAGTGGGATTTATCCCTGGTATGCTGGGGTGGTTCGATGTTCACAAAACAATCAACGTGATACACCACATTAACAGACTGCAGAAGAAAAACCATATGACTATCTCAATAGATGCAGAGAAAGCATTTGATAAAATACAACACCCGTTCATGATGAAAACTCTAAGCAAATTGGGTATGGAAGGAACATTCCTCAATACAATCAAAGCAATTTATGAAAAAACCACGGCCAACATCCTATTGAATGGGGAAAAGTTGGAAGCATTTCCACTGAGATCTGGTACCAGACAGGGATGCCCACTCTCACAACTGCTATTCAATATAGTTCTGGAAGTTTTAGCCAGGGCTATTAGGAAAGAAAAAGAAATTAAAGGGATACAAATTGGGAAGGAAGAAGTCAAACTATCCCTCTTTGCAGATGATATGATTCTTTATTCAGGGGACCCAAAGAACTCTACTAAGAGACTATTGGAACTCATAGAAGATTTTGGCAAAGTAGCAGGATATAAAACAAATGCACAAAAATCAACAGCCTTTGTATACACAGGCAATGGAAGAACTTCTAAGATCAATCCCATTCACAATAGCTACAAAAACAATCAAATACCTTGGAATAAACTTAACCAAGGACGTTAAAGATCTCTACGATGAAAATTACAAAATCCTAAAGAAAGAAATAGAAGAGGATACCAAAAAATGGAAAAATCTTCCATGCTCATGGATTGGAAGAATCAATATCATCAAAATGTCCATTCTCCCAAAAGGAATTTATACATTCAATGTAATACCAATCAAGATACCGAAGACCTTCTTCTCAGATCTGGAAAAAATGATGCTGAAATTCATATGGAGACACAGGAGACCTTAAATAGCTAAGCAATCTTGTACAACAAAAACAAAGCTGGAGGCATCACAATACCAGATTTCAGGACATACTACAGGGCAGTTGTTATCAAAACAGCATGGTACTGGTACAGAAACAGATGGATAGACCAATGGAACAGAATAGAAACACCAGAAAACAACGCAAACATCTACAGCCAACTTATATTTGATTAAGGATCCAAAACCAAACCCTGGAGTAAGGACAGTCTATTCAATAAATGGTATTGGGAAAATTGGATTTCCATGTGCAGAATCATGAAGCAAGACCCCTACCTTTCACCTTACACAAAAATTCATTCATCATGGATTAAAGACTTAAATCTATGACCTGACACCATCAAATTATTAGAGAGCATTGGAGAAACCCTGCAAGATATAGGTACTGGCAAAGACTTCTTGGAAAACACCCCAGAAGCACAGGCGGTCAAAGCCAAAATTAACATTTGGGATTGCATCAAATTGAGAAGTTTCTGTACTGCAAAAGATACAGTCAGGAAAGTGAAGAGGCAACCAACAGAATGGAAAAAATATTTGCAAACTATGCAACAGATAAAGGGTTAATAACCAGAATCTACAAAGAGATCAAGAAACTTCACAACATCAAAACAAACAACCCACTTAAGAGATGGGCCACGGACCTCAATAGACATTTTACAAAAGAGGAAATCCAAAGGGCCAACAGACACATGAAAAAATGTTCAAGATCACTAGCAATCAGGGAAATGGAAATCAAAACCACAATGAGGTTTCACCTCACCCCGGTTAAAATGGCTCGCATTCAGAAATCTACCAACAATAGATGCTGGAGAGGATGTGGGGAAAAAGGGACACTAACCCATGGTTGGTGGGAATGCAAATTGGTTAAGCCACTATGGAAGTCAGACTGGAGATTCCTCAGAAACCTGAATATAACCCTACCATACAACCCAGCCGTACCACTCCTTGGAATTTACCCAAAGGAAATGAAATTGGCAAACAAACAAGCTGTGTGCACATTAATGTTTATTGCAGCTCAATTCACAATAGCTAAGACCTGGAACCAACCCAAATGTCCATCAACAGTAGACTGGATAAAGAAATTATGGGTCATGTACTCTATAGAATACTATATAGCAGTCAAAAACAATGAAACCCGGTCATTTGCAACAAGATGGAGGAATTTGGAAAACATCATGCTGAGTGAATTAAGCCAGTCCCAAAGGGACAAATATCATATGTTCTCCTTGATCAGCAACAACTAACTGAGCACCAAAGGGGAAACTTGCTGAAGTGAAATGGACACCATGAGAAACAGTGACTTGATCAGCCCTTGTCCTGACTGTTGATGTACAATGTAATACTTTACCCATTTAGTATTTTTTCTTTGTTTTGTTCTAGTACTATTGGTTGAATACTGTAATTAACACATAATTATTCTTAGATGTTTAAATTTTAACTAAAAATGATCCCTGTTAAATATAAGAGTGGGAATAAGAGAGGGAGGAGATGTACAATTTGGAACATGCTCAAGCTGACTTACCCCAAATGGTGGATTTAGAATCGTGCCAGGGGATTCCAATTCAATCCCATCAAGGTGGCATGTACCAATGCCATCTCACTAGTCCCAGGGATCAATTTTTGTTCACAATTGATCATAAGGATAGGACTAAGAGCCAAAGGGATCACATAAACAAGACTAGTGTCTGCAAATACTAGCTGATAGAATAATAAAGTGAGAGAAAGATCCTAGCTTCAACCTGACTCAGTCTTGGCCATTGTGGTCATTTGGAGAAACAGGTTCTGAGAACTCAAGGGGACTGAGCTTATAATGCAAATAGCGGAGCTCCTTTAACTACTAACTCTCATGTTCATCGATTTCCTCCCTTCTGTTCTTCAGCCCCAGGAGTCTTCTCTGACTACACCAGCCCAGAGAGCTCTCTTCTCAAAAACAAAATTCTCTGCACCTACCAATAGCTCCCGACTTCCAGAAATTCTGTCTCCCAGGCCTCTCAAGCTGTTACATCCTCACTCTCATGTCCATGGGTATGTACCGGAGTTCCCCATCCTGCTTGCCCAACAGACTGTATGGGCATATGCCCAGTCTTGTTTCTTCTGTTAATTCAGAGATGCTAACAAAATAGAGAAGCAATAGATGTTTGATGAAAATATGCAATATATATGTGAACAAAAATAAGTGTGAAAGGATAATGACTAAAATAAAAAGATAATATCGTAAGCATTCGTAAACAGATGTGAAAGAAATGGATGGTATGGGGAAATTTTTCCATAGAGTTCAATCTGCGACTAATTTACACACAGATGCTTAATAATAGTCATGAGGCTAATCTAAAGTGTCCTCCATGGGGTGAAAACCAAAAGGTCTTTTTTCCCTCAAATAGGAAATTTTATAATTGTGTCCTGGAGGTTTTACCAAGTCTGGAATATCATGCTAAATAAAAATCAAAATATAAAACAGAGATAGAGCTGTAAAAGTCACAGGGGCATTGAAGAGGATGGGGTAGTGGGAGTAGAAAGTATGGAGAAAAATTCCTAAAACCATTGCATGTTGTTCTCAGAAATCAAGAACAGAAACTTCCAGCCCCAGTAACTCCCTTTGCTTGTCAACTTGAAACATGGAAATGAGTATATATCACTCAAAGTCTATGTTAGTGAGGATTCATGTCCATGGTGTTTCTCATTTATTTTAAAATTCCATCATTTTTTCCAAAGTGCCTCCAGAGATCTCCCACCCCAAACATTAAGCTCAGGAAAAGTTTCGCTTTTTGCAATTGGGCAGTTTGGAGTTTCTCGTGCATGGGCGCTGCTCCACCCCATCCCACTCCATCCTAAATTGAGTTTGAGGCTTTTTTGTTTTCACTCTTGCATAACATGAAAACGAGGGAACGCATTTTACTCAAACTTTCCATCTCCAAATCCCCTAAGTGGTGTGAAAAATCCTGGAAAATCTCAGAGCAAAAGAGGACGCTAGGAAAAATCAGGACAAGTGGAAACAGCAGTGAGGGATGCAACTAAACGTTTGTGTCCACGCAACCAACATCCTCAAAGATGTCCTCTGGCTGGTGAGGCTGGGCTGCCGGAGAAAAGTCACAGACTCACCTGTGTTCCATAGTCGTGGTCAGGAGTCAACCCAGCACCCAAGCAGCACCTGAAACATCTCTGCTGTGTCTCAGGAGCACTTCAGACCCCATGCTCTACATCTGAAAAAGGGTCAAGACACACAAAAGTGATGTCACCAAAGACACATTAGTTCTAAAGTGAAAAAGAAAACAGCAAAATTGAAAGCAACATATGTATAATATGTGCATATTATACATAATGTACTCTATATTTATAATCAATTAAATATGTATAGCATTACGCTAGCTGGCAGGTTAGAACTTGTGTTTTGTATATACAAGAGTACTTCAAAAACTTATGGAAAAATAGAATGAAAAAATAAATTTATTGTGGTAGTAGAAGGAAAATTTTAAATCCATGCATTGTGTTTTTAAAATATGTATTTGCCATGAACATTTTGAAGTCTTTGTATACATACATTTATATGGATATAAGCATTCCCTTACCCATACTGTACATATACACATATGAAATACATATGTTTGTTTTAAAGATTTATTTATATGAAAGGCAGAGTTCTAGAGAGAGGGGGAGAGAGAGAAAAGAGATCTTCCATTCATTGGTTCACTCTCAAAATGACCACAATGGCCAGGGCTGGGCCAGGCTGAAGCCAGGATCCTAGAGTTGCACACAGGTCTCCCACATGGGTGCAGGGGTCCCAGTACTTGGGCCATATTCCACTCTTTCCAAGGTGCATTAGCAGGGAGCTAGATCAGAGAGGAGCAGCCTGGACTTGAACCTGTGTCCATATGGGATGTCAGCATCACAAGCAGTGGCAGGTTAACCAATTACACCACAATGCAAGCCCCACATGTCTATGTTCATATGTAGGAGTAGCGAAAACAAATATGCTTATATGCACAGTACTTAATTGAGATATGGTTTAATATATTTGATAGAGTGCAGTTTGTGCCTGTCAAAGTTGGTCTTAGAAAAGCCCTGATCAGCATACATGGCAAAGCATTATTCCTTCAAATGAATCAATTTGTTGATTGTGTGTCACTTGAAGAGATTTGAGAGTTTTCTTTATGCACAGCTTTTCAAGGCACATCATGTCCTTCAAACGACACAAACATGTCCTTGAGGAAGCTAATCATTTCCGAGTAATAGAAATTGTGCTATGTTTTTAGAATATCATTAGCAAATGTGTGAGAGTGGGAGTGAGTGTTCTGGAACTGCCACAGGATAGATGCAAAGAGTAGCTGGGACTTGGGCTAGAGCAGGGGAAAGGAGCATGGATATTTGCCGGAAACGAGGAATGGATGTGGCAGGCAGAGGAAGGTCCTGAGACAGGGACCTCAGTCTGCATATCCTTGAAGACCTTGAGTATGTCCATTCATAGAGGATGCTGAAAAGGAGACCATGTGAATAAGATCTGTAATACTAAATTATGTGAATGCTAGTTATTTATCACTTTATGCACGAAACTTTTACTTACTACCCAGTCAAGAGAACTAGATTTCAGAAAAGAGCAGCTAGCACGGGGGCACCATCAGAAGAGCTGCTAAGATTCGGAACTTTTGTTCTTTGCACAGAAAAATCAAGAGCACATTCATGGTCTGAACTAACTACTTCTTTATTCCATTCTGGGAGGTCTTAAGAAATCCTTTCTTAAGTGGTTTCCAATAGAGGACATCATTTCAGACCCCATGACACTGGGACAGGAGTAGGTATTTAGGAAACAAGAGATATCTAAAAATGATCTTCTGATAGATAGTAAGACTTCCCTTTTGTTATCTTTTTCTCTTAGTGGTTCATTTGTCTTCAAAGAAAGAGAAAAGTGACTAATATGTCATCTAAGCTCCCACCACACTTTGCTGATATTATTATATGTCGACTACTTCCTTCCTTGTGTGGAAGTATTTCTGTACACATTTGAATCCCACAGTACACAATGAGTTCCATGAGCAAGGTGGTGGTGGTAGAGATGTCTCATCTCTCTTGGCATACCCAGTACCTAGCATGGTGTCTGGCCATTAATAGGTGCTTGCTCAGAAGAATAAATGGGGAAAAGTCAGATGAATAAATGAAGAAAATACATAGGACTACCCTTACAAATGATGTCATATGTAAATATAATGACAAACACAGAGAGAAACTTAAGGTTTATGTGATTTCCTGAAGTAGGATATGTAATTTCCTTTATTTTTACAACAACATCAACAAAAAAACAACTGGAACTTCAATACTGCAGAAATGGTTATTATGAGCCACTATTCCCAAATAACCATATGATTTTAATGAGCTTTTGATCCTAATAGCAGTAGAGAGTTGCAGTTTCTGATGATAAAAATAATGAAGTTAGTATCATGTAGAAGGCAATGCATCAAACTGTATAACTGGATCTGAATCCAGCACACATGGTGATTGGTTTTATAATTTTTAGAAGTCATGAAATAAGGCTGGGGGTTTTGTAGGGGAGAAATCTGAGGCCTACCAATCCTTTTACTTGTTTTTAAAGCATCATCATGAAATTAGGGTAACAGAGTTTGAGATGCTATGGAATTTACAGAAAGACCCTGAGTTTTAGAATCAAGCTTGGGTTCTAATTTTGGTTTTCATTTCTATCCTATGTCCATCACACAAACCACATTCAACTTATGCTTTGAAATTAGGGAAAGTTACATAGTTTTTTGCTTAGATTTGTTTTGTAAAATGGAGGGAGCTGATATGAATCAACAGAGTTGTGCTTTGGAGAATTAAATAAGTTCACAATTGTTAAGCACTTAACATGGTGTCTAGTCCATCGTTAGCTACTCAGTTCTAATACAATAATTTGATTAGAGGGCTATCTGCTATGGTCTGTGGCTCTCTGCTTTATCTAATAATGGAATAAACAGTTACTAGAATAAGGGAGAAAAACTAAGAGGGATAACTAATTTTTAAAAACAATTTGATAGTACTTCGTCTAGTTCCTAAAATTTTAACATTTTCTTTTAAGGTTGACCAATAAGTGCTTTATGATTAAACAAAAGCATAGAAATAGCACTTTGATTAATAACTACTTGTTAATGTTAGAAAAGGGAAAACCATATATAGATGATTAATGTTATTATGGTAAAAATTCAAGTTTTGACTAAATGAAATGATATTCTATATCATACTATGATAGAAATTTAGTAGCAACAAATTTATGATGACAAATTTTGGATGAACACTGAGAAATGAAGGAGAAGAACTTTTTAATCACCTATATAGCTTTTTCCAAAAAGCAGGGAGAAAAACAATCCACCAGGAAGTTCAGAGTGTCACACTGCTAACATGAAATAACACTACACGTTCATTACTATATACTCTGTCATGTCACATATAGCCAAGGAGGTAGAATCTTTCACCCATTCCAGATATCAGATACAAGCAACACATTTAGCTGTGGCCTCAACACTTACATGTGGGAAACCAGTTGTCCTTCAAGATAAGAAAAGTGATTATGTCTGGAAATACGGAAAATAGCTGTTATATAGCTGATGTGGAGTCAGAGACTAACTTTGGTTTAGAGCATCTGCTTTGAAGAAACAAAGCATTTCTTGCTAGGATCTTTGGTTGGAATTTGCATTTAATAGTACTTTAATTTTCTTCTTGAATTGTTTAAGAATGTTTGGCTACACATGATAATAACAAAATTCCAGAAACTTAAATAGCTATCTGTCATTTACCTATCTATCATCTGTATATCTCAAGCAATAGTTTGCTTATTACTTACAAAAACTGTGTAGTTTGAGGAATATAAGACAGCTCCAAGGTCATCAGAAATTGGGTCTGTTTTTATTTTCCACTTTTTTTTTTTGTTTTTTTTTGCAACAGCTTCCATTGCCAAGTTTGCTTCATGGTCATAAGATGTCAACTGTAGTCCATCCACCCAGCTCATCCACGTTCCAGGAGCAGGGATGAAGAAAGAGACAGGCCGGCGCCGTGGCTCAATAGGCTAATCCTCCACCTTGCGGCGCCGGCACACCGGGTTCTAGTCCCGGTTGGGGCGCCGGATTCTGTCCCGGTCGCCCCTCTTCCAGGCCAGCTCTCTGCTATGGCCAGGGAGTGCAGTGGAGGATGGCCCAGGTGCTTGGGCCCTGCACCCCATGGGAGACCAGGAAAAGCACCTGGCTCCTGGCTCCTGCCAGGATCAGCGCGGTGCGCCGGCTGCAGCGGCGGCCATTGGAGGGTGAACCAACGGCAAAAGGAAGACCTTTCTCTCTGTCTCTCTCTCTCACTGTCCACTCTGCCTGTCAAAAAAAAAAAAAAAAAAAAAAAAAAAAGAAAGAGACACTCAGCAAAGTCATCCACAGAACTTTCTGGGAAGCTCTGCCCTCACCTCTGTTGCTTTGTATTTCACAGATCACATATGGCTGCAAAGTAAGCTGAGATATGCCACCTTTTATCTCTGCACATTGTCACACTGACTGAATCAGGGGTGTGCTAGTAATATAGAGAAGAGAATGAATACTACACAGGCAACTGAGTCTCTCTTGTAATTGTGCTTCTCAGTTAACACTGAAATCAAAATTCAACTGGTTGGGGCCCGGCGCCGTGGTTCACTTGGTTAATCCTCCGCCTGTGGCACTGGCATCCCATATGGGCACCTGGTTCTGGTCCCGGCTGCTCCTCTTCCGGTCTAGCTCTCTGCTGTGGCCTGGGAGGGCAGTGAAGGATGGCCCAGGTGCTTGGGCACCTGCACCCGTGTGGGAGATCAGGAAAAAGCACCTGGCTCCTGGCTTCGGATCAGTGCAGCACTGGCCATGGTGGCCATTTGGGGGGGTGAACCAATGGAAGGAAGACCTTTCTCTCTGTCTCTCTCCCTCACTGTCTGTGACTCTACCTGTCAAATAAATAAGATTAAAAAAAAACTCAACTGGTTAATGTGATTCCATTAAGTTATAGGTAGAATTTATTTTATTTGTGCAAAAAACCTAATATTTCTGGTCACCATTCATATATTGGTTTATAGTTTATTAGGAGACTTCATATAGGTAAGTGATCTGCAATTCTCATAAAAATCATGAAAAACAAGTATTTTAGCCTTTATCAAAGAGTGAAATACTCTCAGAGAAGCTTAAGGTAAGTGAATCGGACAAGATTTAAACCA